TGTCTCTCTCTCTCTGTGTGACCCCGAGTGAAAGAAATAGCCAATGTGACTTGCACAACTGCCGATCACACACACACACGCACATATACATATATATATATATATATATATATATATATATATATATATATATATATATATATAAAAAAAGAAAAAAATTTAATTTTTTGAGCGTATTTTAGGTGAAGATGTCTAGTTGGGGGAAGGTCGCCCCAGTGCGTATAACGTACCACTTTTCCCTGTTTGCGTGCCAGAATGACCGTGCGGTTGGTTTCCTGCAGCCAGCTGCTGTATCTGGTGGGCAGGTAGTCCAGGCCTCCGTAGATGTCCTGGCTCATGGCCATGATGTCGTCAAAGTCCTCCTCCGTGGCCACGGTGAACTGAAGGCCAGCCTGGGACAACGACTCGGGCAGCTGCGGCGCGCTCAGGCTGCTGTCGATCTTCATCATGAAACAACTGACGGGACAGCAAGCGGAGGAAAAAGCTTGGCGTTGGATTGAATGTTTCAGAGCGGCGGCGGCAACAATAACAACAACTCACAAAAACACCCGCGGTGTTCTCTTTTTTTACACCCCGGCGTTTTAATGCTCTCCCCGCGCTCGACAAACCAAACAGAAATAAGCCGAAATACTGAGATCCCGGAGAGCCTCACAACAATGGGAAAAAAGAAAAAGAAACAAAACAGACAAAAATAATCGCTAAATGAGGTGTTTTTAATGAGGGTATGATACATCACGTGATACATTATTAAGAAGAAATGTGACAGGCAGGTCTGGGTATATACAGTCTCGGGGAGCTTATACATCCAATTGTTGGTGGCTTGTTATGTATTCCGAATATGACGACAGCCAGTGCCAACAAGAAAGCTTTGCATTCCACTTTTCTTCATGGCAACCAACACAATTAGATCAGTGGGCCAAATTCTACACACGGATTTGTAAATCAACAGTCACAACAGACGAAGGCCAGAGAGAGCTTTAGAGTGGGCCATTGTCCAAAGACAACGGCAATATATCACTCCGGTCCTTCTCTTCGGGGGGGAAAGGACGAACCGGAGGGGTCCAGTGAAGGCCTGAGAACACAGTGAGCGGAAGAAAGATGTTCAAGGAAAGCATGTTGACGAGATCTCCCACATCACGGACCGCGGCAGCCGGCACCGTGTTCGTTATACACGCTAGCCAAACGGCCCCGTCGACAAAACGTGCGTGCAATTCACGAGCCTGCTTTCCCGTTTAGGCTGGGGGTGTACCACATCGTTTGTTTTTTCTCCCACACTAACCAGAAGCAACTCAAAACTGTTACATTTAATATTTGTCTTATTTCAAGTCTTCAGCACAAAAAAAAAAGAAAAACATGAAAATATTGGAAAGAAAACTCATCATTGGGCCCTGATACCCGCAGTGCAATTCAGCCTGACTCACTCGTGACTCCCATTTGACTACTTTTTTTTTTTTGACATTACAGGCCAAATAAGGCAAGAAATGACTTTTTTGTGTTTTAGTTTTGCCTCGCCAAACATCTGGAGCAAAAGTGAGAAGGAACACACCGTGTTCGGGGGGCAGATTATCCTTTTTCCGGAAGGCGCTGAGAACACGGACACCAAAAAGGAGTCATGGCAGATCCCGCGCCCATCCAAAGGCTCCACGCTGTTGCTAACACTCGCACATAACGCTGTCATGCAGCCCTAAACTTGGAACAAATCACACACACATACACACACACAGGCACCGTAACATGATTAGTTGAAGAAAGATACGCGGGCGTCGTCAGCCATCTTACACACGTGACCGCCAACATATAACTTGGTGCGTACTTGCCTATGTCATGGTAAATGGCCCAGCGGACTATTCTGTCATTTGAGTTGTTAGCGATTGAGTTGGACGGGCCCCAACGACGACGCCTCGCACACGCGCGCGCACTCGGCAATCGATCCCTTTGCACATGAGGGGTCCCTCAATTAAATGAATAGCGAGGTGGCCTACGAGGCTGATAGGAAAGTGACATCCGGAGCAATAAGCCGCGGTGAACAAGTAGTGGCGGAGGCTCGAAGACGGGAATCCGGACAATATCGGCCGCTTCCATCAGGCGGCACGTACAGTACAACGTGGCGCTCTATTAAACCGCAATAATTCAGAGGCACTTTTGCTCCCTCAGCCGTCGACAACATTTGATGACGCGGTGTAATAGGCAATTAGGTGTTGGGACTTTGGGTTTGAAGTGTACAGCCTTCAGATTCGATTCGGTTCTTATGGCAATGTATTTTTGGATTCTCCTTTATTCATCTATCCATCCATTTTTTTGATCCGCCTTATCCTCACAAGAGTCGCGGGACATGCTGGAGCCTATCCCAGCTGTCTTCAGGCAGTAGGCGGGGGACACCCTGAACCGGTCGCCAGCCAATCACAGGGCACACAAAGACGAACAAGCATCCGCGCTCACACTCACACCTATGGAAACACTCACACCTAGGGACAATCTTGAGTGTTCAATCAGCCTGTCATGCATGTTTTTGGAATGTGGGAGGAAACCGGAGTACCCGGAGAAAACCCACGCAGGCACGGGGAGAGCATGCAAACTCCACACAGGAAGGCCGGAGCCGGGATCGAACCCACAATGTCTGCATGTGTAAGCTGCCAACTCACTTCACCCAAATTTAGGCCGTGGTACAAAATATGTTACCTAACACACACACACACACACACACACACACACACACACACACACACACACACACACACACACACACACAGTCATCACCATCACACTCCACTCAATTTTGTTTTTGGTTGTTGACAAGCATCCAAATCAAAGAATGAGGATTCCAGTGCGGACTTTAACAATGTACGTCCACTTGCTAAAGCACCATTTCCTGTTCATCCACAGAACGCCACCGCTGCCGCCGACGTCACCCATGTCCCAAGTCTTGCGTCTTGTCCCTCTGCAAGGTAAAATCCAGCATTATTCTCCGCACACTACGCACTTGTATACGGCATGTGTCATGAAAGTGGAAGGCCTTACCTCCACCGGTGTTGAGCGTTGACCAGCTTCATGGCTTTCCTGACGCAAATTGCATATGCACACATATTGGAGCTTGGATGATATGGATTCAGGTTTACAGCACATAATAGGCGGGAAAATGCAGATTGCACGCAGAAACAATCCGGATACCGTATTTTCTGCACAATAAGGCGCACCAAAAAGCATTCCATTTTCCCAAAAGCCGACAGTGCGCCCTTTAATCCGATGTGCCTTGTATATGGTGTCAATTACAGTCTCTTGATAGTCCCCGTTTTTTTATTTCCCTGTTAGTGTTCCTATGCCATCTAGTGGTGATTATTAGCGGGAACCAATTATAACCTAAAAAGGTTCTGCCCAACACTAATTGACATGTGCATTCACCAACACACACTCAAGCAGACCATTATGAAACGGATATAATACCAAAAGCATAGTTAACGAATGACTAAACGAAGGAAGAAGGAGACAAGCAAGACTTGCCCCTTGTGGATGTGAGCCCACGAGGTTCGTGTGCCTTTTTGTTGAATCAATTGTCTTCATAACGTTTGTCTTTCATTTATTGTTTTGTATTGCCATTTTTATTTATATGTTTCACATCAGTCTCACAGCTTGCCAATGAATACTTTTTATGGACTTCGTGTCGTGCTTCATGCTACATCCTGAGGTAGCTACATATGGATCAATATTCTTATTTCTTGGACCGAGTATTTTAAAAGTTCCGTAAAGCGTTTTGTTACAGCTGCAGTGGTTGACAAGGCTCTACATAAATAAAGCTGTATTGTATTGTATTCCCTTTAGCATAGCTCCATCTAGTGGATGCATAGCACAACTGCAATCACTATTGTAGCTTCTATTATATGCGCCTTATAATGCAGTGCGCCCTATATATGAAAACAGTTTTTAAATAGCCCATTCATTGAGTATGTGTCTTATAATCCGAAATGCCTTATAGGGCCGAAAATACGGTTAATTAGCTGAAAAGGCTTTTCCTTGATTTTATTCTGACGAGGCGATGGCAATATATATTTTGGGACTTTGAACGTTGTGCTGGCGTGTTAAGGACGAAACAGGCTGAAAGCTGTGGGCCCAAATGTCTCCTGTTATCAAAGCAGGCTCCAAGTGAGGAGAGGATGGCGTGTTTGTGTGGGTGCGTGCGTACGTGTGTGTGTGTGTGTGTGTGTGTGTGTGTGTGTGTGTGTGTGTGTGTGTGCGTGTGTGTGTGTGTGTGTGTGTGTGTGTGTGTGTGTGTGTGTGTTGAGGGGGATTATCCCGCTGCTAATGCTGCTTATATTGCTTTGCTGAGTGGAATAAATAACAAAATCAGATCTAAAAAGAAGGGCCCCGTGGTGTTGAATTTGGGATTAAAAAAAATAATAATAATAATAAAATAAATAAAAAGATGATGCGCTCTCTGCACTCGTGTCCAATCTTCGCGGTCTCCTCTTTCTCACTGTCCCCTCTTAACAAGGCATTATCGCTAGCGATCTACATGGCCTTTCGTTATCCGATCCTTGATCAGCAAATTGTTTGACTTCAAGCCAAAAACGATGTCCTGATTTATCCTTGCAAACCAAAAAAAATGTCCTCCAAAAGGGTCCCAGAACCAATACACAACAATGACATCATAGGGGGGAGGCTGACGGGTCCTTCTTCACTTTCAGATGATTCTAGTCAACTAAATCAAAAACCGATCCAAATTTAATTTTGGATAACCTTCATCAAAGTAAAATGAAACGTGTCGTGCTAATAATAGAATTGTCCTTGTCTTTGAAAGAAAAGCACAGATTTCTTTTTTCTAAGAAGATAACATTAACCCTTTCAGGGACAGCGGTTACTACAGACAGTTTATCATGTTATCAGGTTACAGTGTGCATGAAAGGATTAAATTAATCCAACATACACTCCACATGTGGTTAATGTATTAAAAAAAAAATCTTTGTAACACCCAAACTTTTGAACACTGATGTCTATATAATAGTCATGATCAACTATTTATCATGACAATGTCAAAGCAAATAATCGCTGATCAAAGTGAAGCAAACACCGAAATGCAAAGTCCCTCAAATGGAGTGTCGGGAAATGAGCTCCTGACTCGTTGCCGTCCGATTTTCATATGCTAAATGTCTTTTCGTTTGAACTTTTTGTGGGGATTTTTGCACCGCAATTGTGATGACAGTTCGAGGAAACGTGTTGATGAAAGGCCAGCGTCATGTTGTGCTTGCCTATTTTCTCTCGCCCTTCCACGATTAATACACTCTTTCAATCCCAAATACCAAACTGTCAAAAGGCATCAGCTCACGTTGACCTTCTCTCGCTCTCGCTCGCTCTTCTTCTTCATTTCAGAGAGAGTGTTGGTCAGCCCCTTCGTTGCAGTCGCGCGCTTTGAGGGAAGGTGTCCTTTTCGCGTCACTTCAAGGTGCCAATGACGGACGCGGACACTTTTTTTGGGGGGGGGAGCTGAGCCCCGTCCACGACGGAGTCGAGGTTTGTCTCGGTTTGTCTCAGTTTGTCCTTTGACTTGATTCTCATTTTGGGGAAAAGCCCTGCGTTTGGACTGAATTTGGACTTTGCGCTGGCCCCGCCGCCCAAACTGGTCCTGATCTCGTCCGGGGCTATTGTGGCCTCAGTTAAAAGTCGGGAACAGAATTCAACGTGAAGTGGTGATGTCAAATTTGAAGCGCTGAACGGATGATTAAGGTGAAATTACGACAGTCTCGAGCTGTCGTAACAGTGTGTGGGGGTTGTTTGAAGATGAGACATTCAGCAAAAAAAACCTTACTCAGCTCATGAAAACTTCGAAAATTCAGCGCCCCAAATCCTTTTGACTTTACAACGGGAAATATGGTCGGCGTGTCGATCATGAGTAGAGACAAAAAAAGAAAAAAGACTCAAGAAGCCTTATTCGCAAAGACACAGGAAGTCTGCCATTTTGACCGTCATTTTGGCCATTTCCTGTAACAGAAAACTTATCCAAAGTATTTTTTTATTTCAATTGCTCGCAAATTTCAACGACACCTACTCCAGAGGGACCACACCAAATTGTGAAATTTGATTTTGGAGCTTTTTGTCCTTGCGTGGCAGCAACAATTGGTAACTGTTGGAAATATGTTTTGGAATTTCAAAAATAATCAGTCAGCCCCCAAAGCCCGTTTTGACTTTGCAACATGCAATTTCCTCGGCATGTCTAAAATGAGTCCGCGCGCAAAAAAATAATAAATAAATAAATAAATAAAAATAAAAATCTCAAGAAGCCATGCTCAGAAACACGAAGGATTCTGCAAGCCGTTTTGGTTGGAATTCGCTATTTTAGGCCTCTGCAATGCATTTGTGAAGGAGTCCTTGCACAAATGAACAAAGAGGTTTTGTTTTGTTGTGATCACATTTTAAAATTTCCTTGACATAAAAGCGATGCAAAAAAAAAAAAATCTGTGTCTTTATCGTGGTGTGGAGTGATGTGGTGTTGTCACGATGGTCTGTCATCTTGAATTATCTCCTTTTAGTGCCTTGTGATTGCTGGAAGATGATGGCTGTGTCAAGAAATCGTATGTTCTCCAGCAAGGGCATTTTTAGACCCCAAAAACAAAACTGTGTGTTATTGATATGGACCAATATCGGCCATTTCTCACACTAACTAATTAGGGGCCCCAGTTGGGGACCCCCGACATGTTGTCGATGTGGCAGTGCCATCGTTTTTGTCATTTATAATAGCCTTGTTGCAATGTGTCTGGCGTATGTCCAGCTACTGTTTGTTTGCTGTTTTCCAGTAGACATTCTCAATGATCGCCGGTCGGGACGTGCTGCTGTCCTATTTCCCGCTCTGACAAATGCGTCCTCCTGAACAAAACAAGTGCCGGAGAACACGTTGGTACTGCCTCATGTTGCATGCGGCTCTGTGGAAGTAATGGCTCTTTGCGTGTCATCAAGACGCTCATTTATCATTTAAGTGTGCAAATAACACAACGGCAGAGATGTGGGGATGGGTTATAATTGTGCAGCTGTACCTAATGCTGCATCCATGTGTGTCAAACTGAAGTTGACGGAAGCCGGTGAACATACAGGCCGAACACCAATGATTTTTTAAAAATCCGATTGACTCCCCTAAACGTCAATACGAGCCTTTTCCTTCATCAGCATTTTTCCTGCACAAGCCTCATGACATCCTCCCATCTGGGAATATGAAGCAAATTCGAACCCATGCAAATAAGCAGGCCATCCATCCTGACTATTGGGAAGCAGGATCCAAAGTGAGAGTGGTGTTTTTCCAGGAGCAATTGAAGCGTTGATTCAAAACATGAACGCATCAGCATCATCACCGGGGCTCCTCCACTAAAAACCTCTGTCGAATTTGTCGTCAGAGCAGAGAAATATGCCAGATTCGCGTGGGGGGTGGGG